CCATTGAGCCCTAACCACCTTCTCCTGGACCCCCTTGCATAGTCCCATTACCGTTGCACTCAGAACCCCCCAACAAGCCCCTGTTTATCCAGATCCACCACTGAGCCACCTGCCTTCAAATTCATAGAATCATAGAATAACAGGGTTGGAAGGGACCTCAGGAGGTCATCTAGTCCACCCCCCTGATCAACGCAGGACCAGTCCCCAACTAAATCATCCCAGCCAGGGCTTTGTCAAGCCTGATCTTAAAAACCCTCTAAGGAAGGAGATTCCACCACCTCCCCAGGTAACCCATTCCAGTGCTTCACCAGTCTCCTAGTGAAAAAGTTTTTCCTAATATCCAACCTACACCTCCCCCACTACAACTTGAGACCATTACTCCTCATTCTGTCATCTGGTACCACTGAGAACAGTCTAGATCCATCCAATTTGGAACCCCCTTTCAGGTATTTGAAAGCAGCTATCAAATCCCCCCTCATTCTTCTCTTCTGCAGACTAAATTCCCTCAGCCTCTCCTCATAAATCATGTGCTCCAGCCCCCTAATCATTTTTGTTGCCCTCTGCTGGACTCTTTCCAATTTTTCCACATCCTTCTTGTAGTGTGGGACCCAAAATTGGATACAGTACTCCAGATGAGGCCTCACCAATGCCAAATAGAGGGGAGTGATCATGTCCCTCAATCTGCTGGCAATGCTCATACTTGTACAGCCCAAAATGTTGTTAGCTTTCTTGGTGACAAGGGCACAGTGTTGACTCATATCCAGCTTCTCATCCACTGTAACCCCTAGGTCCTTTTCTGCTGAACTGCTGCCTAGCTGCTTGGTCCCTAGTCTGTAGCAGTGCAGATTGCCCCACATAGATCCCTCACAACCCACACCTGGGTCCCCCCACACTAAGCCTCTCCACACTTGGATCCTGCCTTGGTGAGCCTGCCTGCCCACACCTGGTGCACCTGGCATGGAGGGTCAGGGCCCTGGGGTGTTTCTCATGCAGCCCCTGTCCTTGTGCTGTCAGGGTGGGTACAGCCTCACCGCTGAATCCATGTTCTGGGTAGGGGAGCTGTACAGTGATCTCCCAGCTCTGTGTAGCCAGTGACCTGTGCTCCCCAGGCTGGAGCCTCCACATTTATTTGATTTTTGCAGAATTGTTTAACTTGGCAAAGTTGCCTAAAATCTGATGTTGCTGAGCTGTTCTGCACCTAATGTTAATTGCATAATTTGGGGAACCCTACCAATACCCTACTGAGCACTTAAGGGATGACCCTGTTGATTTAGGCACCCCCACTTTTTTTTACTCCCCCGGCCTCTGAGAGCTTTGGGACTAAGGCACCTACACTTACCCATAGGGCTCAGGAAGAAACCTGGTTAATTTAAGTACCTGCCCTTTCCCTCAGGGCTCTACGGGTCTGCAGGACCTTTTTCCGGTGAAAAAGCCTTACCCAGCTGTGCTTTAAACATCCATTTATTAGCAACACACACAATACATATGCCAAGTAAATCTATTATGCTTTATTAGCAACAGGACATTTCCCCCCCCGCCCCCACCCCCAATGTTAGTGGTGAATTTCCTGAGTTTCACCCAGGGCTGGTCAAGACTAATTTAATATGGGAGTGAGTTATGTCCCAGGCCTACACTAAGCTCTGGCAGGATTCTCAAACAAGGCATTCTTCTGCCAGCCATGCCTACTGGGCCTGATCTGATAGACATTAATAGTGCACACCTAAGCCACAGAAGATAATGAGGGTAGAACACTCACCTGGGATGTGGGAGACCCAGTTTCAAATCCTCACTCTGCCTGATTTGGAGAAGGGACTAGAATTATGTTTCCTCTGGTCCAGTGCAGTGTCCTAACCCTTAGGTTGTTATGTATTCTGGGATGAGTGTCTCTCTGGCTGAAGCTGTTCCATATTTGTTGGAGCTGGGATTTGAAACTGGGTCTCCCAGGTAACTCTATAACCTGGTAGCTAGTACATTCTTACTCCTTCTGGCTCTTATAGATTGTGATAATGTCACCCCTAGCCTTCTTTTTAATAAGCTAAATAGATTGAGGTCTTGAGTTTGTCACTATACAGCATGTTTTCTAATCCTCCTTGTGGCTTTTCTCTGAGCCATCTCCATTTTATCAACATCCTTCTTGAAGTGTGGACACCAGAGCAGTGGCACTGTTGATTGCACCAGTGCCAAATACAGAGGTTGTATTACCTCCCTAGTCATACTTGAGATTCCCCTGGCTATCTATCCAAGGATTGCATTAGCCCTCTCAGTGGCAGATCATGTTCAGCTGATTATTCACCATGATCCCAAGTCTCTTTCAAAGTCACTGCATCCTGGGATAGTCTCCCATCCTGTAAGCATGACCTACATTCTTTGTTCCTAGTTGTATGACTTACGTTAAGCCATAGTGAAATTCATATTGTTTGCTTATGTCCAGTTTACTAGATGATCTAGATCACTCTGTAGCAGTGATCTGCCCTCTTCGTTATTTACCACTCCTTCAATCTTTGTGTCATGTGCAAACTTTATCAGAAATGATTGTTTTCTTCCAGGACACTGATTAAAAAAATTAAATAGCTATGGGAACAAGAAACAATCCCTGTGGGACCTCATCAGAAACATATCTGCTTGATGATGATGATTTCCCCATTTATAATTACAGTTTGAGACCTGTTAGCTAACTTTTAATCTACTTCAGTGTGCCACATTGATGTTGTATCAGTCTAGTTTCTTAATCAAAATGTCGTGTGGTACCAAGTCAAATGCCTTTCATAAATCTGAGTGTTTTACAATTAATAGTATTACATTATCAACCAAACTTGTAATCACAATAAAAAAGGTCTATTTTTCATAAACCAATATTCATTGGTATTAATTCTATTACGCTTTATTACTTCTTTATTAATCAAGAGCTATATCAACTGCTCCATTATCCAGCTGACAGGCCTATAAATTCCCCTTTTCCCTTTTTAAATATTGGCACAATAGTTTCTTCTAGTCCTCTGAAATTGCCCCAGTGTTCCAAGACTTATTAAAAATCAGCATTAATGGTCTAGAGACCTTCACTGCCAGCTCTTTTAAAATGCTTGGATACAAATTATCTGGGTACATTACTTACTACAAAAAGGATATGCCAAAGAGGCTAAGACACAATGTTCTGTTGCTTGTTTTCCAAGTTAAGTCAAGATCCTTTGACTTTCACATAATGGGAAGGTATTGTCATTACTGTCCAATTGTGGTATTCATTAAGTGTATACAATCAGAAAATCTCCAATAATAAACAGCATTTCCTTTCCCCTTTACATTACAGCTTTATATAAAATATGCAGCAAAACAAAATAAACATAAAATGTCCCTAAAATTATGTTTACTTATAATCTCAGTAGTGAAATAAAACTAGCTTTTAAAAAGCACAAAGATCTTAACACTGAATAAAGAACTTTTTTTTCTAATTAGGACTGAGCCATGCTTTGCAGAGGACAACCAATGAGAGAGAGAGATGTGAATTTATATCAAGGGGTGCATTTCTTCATTTTGTATAATTAAGCAAATAGCTTGAAGAGGAAACCAAAATAAAAAAGGCTAAATTGTTCTTTCACTTCTTAATCACTACTAACTGCCATACATTCAAAGAAAAGTTTTGATAGGGTAGAGAGCATTGTTTTTTTTTTTCCAATGTCAAATTTATAGTTAAAGCAATTTCATAGGGACCCCTGGGTTCTCATGATTCAAATCCTAGGCTACTGCTGTGCTGTAGGTGGAAAGATTAGAGAACTCAAAACATGATTACTGTGGGCTAGTATTTAGACAACTAGGGAAAATATAAAGTCTTAATCCAATCCTGTTTTAAGATGGACACAGAGATCTAGGATATAAAGGAGAAACACATCTCAAGCTGTGATCTTGTCAATCTCTCAAACTTAGCAGTATTGAGACTCGTCAATAACATACATAGAGGGGAGTTATACAAGGAAAACCCATCTGTGGCGGGATTAGTTGGTGATGGGTCAGCATGGGGTACTCATGCTGCTGAGTCAACATTGAACTTAATGCCCCAGGCATGACGTGATGGGGCACTGGTCTCGTAGAAGTGTGGTTGAAGTACTAAGTTCTTGTTCTCATTTAAGGGTCACATTACTTTTGGCAATAGTAATTTGAATCCAAAAATCTGATGCCTGGAACTATGAACCCACCATCTTCACCAAACAATTTTTAATATGCAAAATTTAGAGGCTGCTTTCAAAAATTTTACCCCAAGTGTGAACTGTTGAAATGATGAAGTAACTAATATATACCATAACTGCTTTAAGGGGAAAAAAATCTTGGACTGTTGTACTAAAGAATCCCAGGGACAGAGCCTCAGCTAGTGTAATTTGGTGCCACTTCATGGAAGTCAATGTAACAGCACCAATTTACATTAGCAGATGCTCTGGCCCTGGTACTGTTCTATGAATTACTGTATAATTTCAGATAAAATAAAAAAATACAACTTAATCTGGAATATGTACTGATCTGAATCTTTTCGGAAGCTCAAGAAAGTGTAATGACATTTACATATACACTGAACTTTGGAGATAAAAGTGCTATGTGAATAAATACTACTAATTAATCACTAAACCACTATAAGTATAAATATTTACATTTTATATATGGGGAAGAGGCAGAGAGTCCAACTGACTTGCCAGTCTGGTAGACCAGCAACTGAAGCTGAGGAAATCCGGGTTCTGAGTTCCGTCCCCATGATCAAATTTTAAAATATACACCTTTGGGCATCTCTGCAACCCCACAAAAACCTGAAGTAGGCTGGCTAGAATCCAGAAACGTTCAGTAAATATAACAAGGAGGGTTGCCTGATTTTGTCAGTCCAGCCACCTGATTTCCAGACTGGAGGTTTGATATTAGAGAAGCATGTGAACTTTTGGAAGCTCATCCAATCTAAATTTCTGAACCTTTTGAAGCTATCTCATATCTGTTGATGATTGGCATATTTTATTTTGTGCTTGCAGCGGTTGCAGGGCAAATCACTTCCTAAACATGAGAAGTGGGGTCTACTACAAATGGGCAGCGGTGGAAGTATGGATGAACAAGTCAGTGGAGACTGTGATGACGAGGATGGTTGCGGAGGATCAGGAAGCGGGGAAGTGAAGAGAATCCTGCAAATTACTGACTGTAAGTCCTATGATTCTACCTCCACTTATTTAAGTGTTTTTAAGAGTGAATTAGTGTATTAGCCTCTAAGGAACACTACTGGTCTACTTTTGGAGATGATTGTGGTAAATTTATCTAAGCAAAGTAGTTGAGCTTCATGAAGTAGAACATGTACAAAATAAGACTGAAAATTATCTAAAGATAGGAATTATATCTACATGTTCATCTATATTGCAATGAACTTTATCTTAATCTGTATCTTTTTAATGTGACTGGTGTCTGTTGGCACACATTTGGTGTACTGCAAATCATGATACTTGAACAATGATGTTTTAATCCAACTAAATAGTGGTAGAATATCTTGGACATGATGAATTACTGGTTTAACATAATAGGTACAATTTTCAGTTGAATAGAGACATCTTTCAAATCTTCCCTAGAAACATGGGAGAAAACAATGTACAACCACATTGTGGTAAGTGGATTTGGCCATTACTATTCTATTAAATTGACTATAGCCAGTGACCACTCCTAAATAACCAGATACGGTAATGGCATGCTATTGAACCACAGGTATGTGGTGGTTTTGTGATCATGCTAAATCTTTCAAAACATTCAATACTAATGGAAAAGAAAATAATAAGGTGGTTACTATAAAACCCCAAAGTGCTATTGGCCACCTCCTGTTATACTTTTTATGTATTTTTAAATCTTCTAATAGACTTTTGAAATATAATTTTTCTAAGTATTTTAAGGAAGCTAGGTACCCACCACCCATTGAATTTCAATGGCATTTGGTCACCTAACTCCCTTTGGCACCTTTGAACATTCCAGCATCTAAAAATGAGTTGGAAATAAAATATTTAGAAAATGTTTGAATTTTTTATATGCTACTTACTCCAAAAAGATACTTCATGACATCAGTTGAGTCTGAAAGTAATCTTACAAGATGACACTCTTATTCAAAGTATTACACTGTGGAGGGACAACAGCAAGAACCAACCAACTCTACTGCAGTTGATGTATTTTTCTTTTCTGATGTACCAGTGATGTTTCTAAGACAGCCTGTTAGATACTGTGAAGATGGATGGTGGTATCCTGATCTAATGAGCTGCTATTTGAATATTCTAGATTTGTTAGAGGAGAAGATCTTTATGCCCCAGTTCAGGAAAACATCAGCATATGCTTAAACATATGCTTCAGTCACATTGAACTGTAAGCATGCACAGTAGGATTTGAGCATGGTCTTAACTTAATACATATGCTTAAGTACCTTTGTGAATTGGCATGGAATTAAACATACACTAATCAGGGCCTTTGAATCCTCAATGCCCCTTCATGTAGATGTGTGGGTAGAGCTTCTGGGATGCGAGAGAGAGAACCTGTTTCCCCAGAGATACAAAGAAAACAGTGCTGGTTTATAGAAATTTATCTTCTGAATCTATATAGTTACTGCAGTAACTAGAGACAAAACACAAAGGGCTCTATTTTTAGCCATAATGTAAGTAGGTGCCACTCACTTGGCTTCAGCTGAGTGGCACCAGTTTATCCCAGGGCTGAATTTGATTCTAATGCTTCACAGAATTTTTTTTCTTTCTTCCTGTCTGAGGCTTTAATTTATAAATTAAATAATTTGTTTTATTGCGGTGGTCATAATTAGTGCTCTCTTAAATGCATGACATGAAATTTGAACACCTTTACATTTTAGACTTGAGTTGACTACAGTCCGTGCTCATGAACCAGAGGTGATTTGTTAGACCTGGGTTTTTTTATGTTCTCAAACATGGTTATTGGAGCTTGAGATCCACAAAGCTTTTGTGACTATTTTTTTTTGCTATACTTGCATTTGATCTGGATCTGTCATATAGAACAACTCACATAATATTTTCTGATATAGCTACTTCCCCATTTTGGGTTCTTGTGATCCTGGGAGCACTGTGTAAACTAATATAAGCACAAAAGTCCACACTTGATCTGTGGGCTCACAACAAGATTGAGAAGTTATCAGGGAGAGAGAACAGGTTAGTTTAACCCAACCCTTTCTGAGCCTCTGAACCCATGCAAGCTTATGACCATCAAATTCATGAATCTCTTTGGAAGAGTTTGGATCTCTGGAAACATTTCATTGTTTCTAGTAATTAACCCCTTCTTTGGGATTTTACACTTTTGTAGTATATAAAAATGCAATGCAAAACTTTCACTTATCAAGGTGACATGAATGACTTTTCAAAATAGATTACAGTTCTCAATTACTATAGAATTGGACATGAAGAACCAGACATCTATCAGAACCAACTGGGCATCCATCAGAGTTGGGCATTGGTTACATAGAATTTAGCAACTCTAGTAGAATATATATATATATAAAAATCCACATGTACTATATATACCAATGGGCTGCCTATTAGCTACCTAGGATTTCCCCGCTGTTAACATTTTCTATTTTTGAAAAGCAGACAGGAAACCACCCAAGGCAACATGCAGACATGATGTAGAGCAAGGGAAATGGTAAGATGGGTCATACTTCTCTTTCTGTTGGGTTTAATTCCCAGTCTTCCTACATATTGATAAATGGATTAAATGAACTACAAAGCAGCTGAATGACAGAGTTTGAACTAAGGGACCTAATAGATGAAATACTGTAATATGAAGTAGGACTCTCATGTTGCAGTTTTAAACACATTCTCTGCTTGCAGAGTAATTTTAAGCATCTATTTAATAACTATTTTGATCATTTTTTTATTTAGTAATTTAATCTCCCCTCACAGACTGCCATGTAAGGAAAGAGAAATTATTCTCTATTTTAAAATAGTGCCAAGATATCCTCACTAAAAATCAGCAACACCGTGTAAGCTGCTGACATGCACATACTAAGAAACAGTCCCTGCCCTGAAAAGCTTACAATCTAAATAGACAAGGCAAACAAAATATGAGAGAATAGAAGATGGAATATCCTCATTTCACAGATCACTATGGGGGGGGGGAAATAAGCATTTTACTCCTTATCATTCCTTTCTGAGGGCAAGTCAATGCTTTCTGTATTAGTACGTGTGCATCTTTGTGCATGTATTTCTTCCAAGATAAAACTCTAATTTACTTACATCCCCAGAAATTGAAGGTGACTTTATTTTCCACTTGATGTTACAGATGCAAGTGTATGGTGATGGACTTTAGAGTGTCTGTGAAGAGATCAAAGGCAAAAAATGTACTCAATTCAGAAATGAAAACATCTATCTTTATATCAGTGCTCACAGTATATACACCGAAGTAACGAGCTTGACTTCCACAAAGGGAGTCTGACAATTGTATTTGTAGGTCACTATTTATCTGGTCAGGCTAGTGGATAGCAGGGAGAATGGCATTAGAAAAGGTTGGGTGTTCTGCACTCCCAGATAAAAAGGAGCTACGTTCCAAAGAAGACCTCATCTAAAACTTGGCTTTCAATTCATCCTACACTCTCTTGATCCCAAACATCGTATTCCTTATCTCTCCTCTCAGCTCCTTTCATCCTGCATCTTCTGTGTGAAACACCCTCCTTCCTCATCTTTAAATTGCTTCTGAAAACCCAGTGCTTTTGTGAAATCTCACTTAGTCCTTAGTGCACAGGGGCCTGAGAGCGATATTGTACCTAGCGATTCTGGGCAATGGTTCTTGTTTCATCTTCCCTGGCTGATCACTCCTGGCTGATCTATCCACGGATGGGCACAATCTTATTCTAAATTAGACTGAGAATAGTTTTAAAATAGTGTGTTTAAAAACAAAACAAAAAAAACCTGCTGAAGATGGGGAGAACCTTCATGAAGGGAGGAGAATACTACTCTTGTCTGTGGCAGTGAGAGCAGGTTTGGAAGAGCCTTTCTTCTTCTCAGTGTGGCCTCTTATGTGTGGTGGTTGTCAGCCAATATTGCCATTTCTTGGAAGAGTCAGGATTGACCAATAGCAGCCCACCTCACAAAGGAATTAATTTAAATTTCTTTCCAGAGTGGATTGTTAGAGCAATGCTTCATAAAGTATCTTTTTAAAGGAAGGTGTTGACTAAAAACAGGGTGGCTGGCTGGGATGCAAGAGGGAGGAAGACTGTTGCGATTACTAGCGGTACGATGGGAGGTAGCACAAAGATGCACATGACAAAAGCATTCTTATCTGTAAACTGGCTTTGGTGGATTTTTTTATTCCAATCTGGAAGTTCCACTAACTATATCCAATTATTCTATTGTCTTGGTACCTGCAGTTATGAAGGTAAGAAATAGATGAGTGATTAAATGACTAAACTGAAATTAATTCACTGAGTGAGTGGGAATATGAAGGATAAGGTTTGTTCAATAAAGAGAGCCTGCAGTGCAACACCTATTAACCCCATTGTGTGTAACACTTGGGAATGACTGTTTAGTGAAAAAAAAATCTGCTTGGCTCCCTAGTTAGAAAGCCAGCTGAAAAGTATTTGGGAATGTATAGATACATGAGATTAAAACCCTTTGAACCAGCTGCAGTAAGAGCTGGGATGAATTTATACTTTCCAAAAACAGTTTACAATATTTTCTGCTTGTAAAGTCTAGTGTGGATTTGCTGACAGTTGACATTGTTACTAGAAGTACATTTTCAATTGCTATTTATTTAGCAACACAGTTGATCCCAACAATATATTTTTCTTCAATTATATTAGAACAAGACAATGGTCCACAGAAATTATACTTTATTATGGTAGTGTCTAGTGGCCTAGTCAGAATTTAGGTCACAGCATGGTATGTACTTTTTATCCCTAATGTTACCCTGAAATTTAGGCTTTGGGGCACCCCTAGACTAACCTGCCTATCATCCCCTTCATGTGCTCTTCCTGGGGAATGGGTCTCCCCGGTAACTCAGGAAACGCTTGAAGGACATGGATATAACCTTCTGATAAAGTGATTGACACAGGCAGTTGTCTTTCCAAAACAAAGTATCTTTTATTGATGTAACTAATAATCCCTATTACAGTATAATATAGAAATAAAAATCAGACACATTCCTTATTACAAGTTAAA